TAAGGGATACGTTTTACATAATTAACGAAACTGTAATTGACTTGAATTAGATTGACACTTAGATTATTTGATTTTATATGGTAGGTATACTAACAGTTGTCCGTGACTTTGACCGCGCGAAAAACAAAACTAGTAATATAGCATAAATCACCCGGGGATAGCGTAGCTTTGCTACAATTTTTTTTTAATAGAAGTTGAAAAATTCGTGATAGAATTTTTAAATTGGTTCTGTAGTTTTGGAGTCTCAATCTGAGACAAACAAAAACTTTCCTCTTTATAATATCCTATCCTATCCTCTTTATAATTATAATAATAATAAGTATAAATAATAGCATGTGAAGCCTCTATTATTACAAGCAGCTACAATAGAACAAACACATACAAACGTACTCGAGAAAAACATTACTCTACTTTCACCGAGGGTTTTTAAGACCATAATATCTATATTAAACATACATCCCTGTCAAAAAATAAATAATGTTTTAAAAATATTAATCATTTTGGTTTCAGAAACCCACAGTCAGGAAATAATATCTGTAATCACATATTACATAATAGAACATTTGTAGCTGAAAACAAAAGCTGTATTTAGTATAAACGGTACAATAATTTTGAACACGGTATTCCGTGGGATCACTGTAGACATGCTTTTGATACGAGATTAATATTATTCTAGTAACTGAATATTTGCAGTAAACTACAGTGTATTTACGAACTGACTATAATATATACTAAAGTGTGTACTCGATTGCATAGTGTTTAATGTCTCAAACAGTTTCTAAGTATAAACGTTTTCTTCTTATTGTAAAAAATAATGTTTCAAAATAACAAAGACTTCACTTATTCCTCGAAGGGTAACATAGTCGAGAAACAAAAAGATAGCTTTTTCTATTCTTAATTATCTTAATATGCGTCGAGAGTGGCTGTCTTCTTTGTTAATAAAATAATATTAACACGCTATTGTTAGAGCCAAACGTATCGGTATCTTTATAAATACATTAATAAGAAAAGAATACTACATCGGTAAGACAAATAATATATTTTAAGTAAACGAAGAAATACTTGGCTTTTGAAATATGCTTTATTCCAAATTACATTTTTTTTGGTATTGAGATTTAACCGAGAAATCATTGGATATGAGGCCATATGTTTATGTCTAGTAGAATAATGTTATAATAAAAAATTAACTATATCTTTACTTTTATGTTGGTAAAACTTGTTTTAAATTAATTTAAGAGAAATTAGAGAAAATAGTCACTAAAAGAAAGTCAGAAAAGTCAAGAAAGAAGAAGAAATTCTTCAGTTTATAAGATGTATATATAATTTTATTTATTCCCAAAAAGGTTAGTTTTATTGGCGTAATTAGGGAAATGAAGATCTAGAATAGCATTTCTTATTAAAATCTAGAAAGACCCCTGTTTCTTTTATACTAAACAAAGCGGAAAATTTAACTTAACTAAAAAAGAGAGCTTTTAACCCTTAATTCGACGAAATTTTTTGTAGCAAAAAAACTGTTTTTTTTTAGTAAAGTCATACTTACGTAATTTTCACTAAACTAGTTTAATAGATTTTTTTTTAAATTAGGTGTTCATCACACTGGACACCATCGAATTAAGGGTTAATGTGTATATTGTATTAAAAAGAGAAAATACTTCAAATATTGATTCGTTGAACACCTCGGTGTTCCCGCTGCTCGTTTGCCCCCTTCTGTTATAAAAAAAAAATATATTACTTTAAATAAATCTTCTTTACGTCTCTTATCTCCTTGAACAACAGTATTAAATAACTTTTGTTCTGAATTACAATCTCCCTGTAATTATACAAAAGCTTGGAGACGAGTCTCGTTTTGTTTTCAATTACAGAGTAGCTTAAAATAATTTACGTTTTAATGAAAACGAAAATAGAAAATTTGATTCTTATTTTTGTGTTAAGTGAATTTATTTAAAAAGAAATATATAATCTAAAAGATTATTCCACTTTGGAATCACACAAAAAAAAAGATATCTTAGTATGGATGTTTGTTAGAAGATAATTTCAGAACGGCTTGAAGCATTTCGATGATATTTGACATATATGTAAAACATATTATAGTTTGGAAGAAAACACAGGCTACTAATTAAAGTCGCGGACGATAGCTAGTGTATAAATTTTTAATGACAAAAAAGCAACATGGAAACAGTGGTAAAGCCCGCTTTAACAACTTCGCACGAATTGGCCCGGCTCGCCCATTGAAATACCACGACCACACAGAAGGCAGGCGAGAAGTGGAAGCAATTCCGCGTTTCGCTTGATGAGTTGCGTCCCGGAGGCCTAATTTAGTCCTCTTTCCCTCCCCACCCATTTTCTTAAAAGGAAGGGATGGGAAGTGGAAGTGGACTTACCGGATAAGAGGATGCATGGAAAGGTAAAATATTTTCTTTCTGTGCATCCTCTCAACCGTCGCTTAAAGTAATTACATATGTCTATGGGCAACGGTCACTTCGCTATTACAAGTGGCCGCTCGCTCGTTTGCCACCTTATGATATAAGAAAAGATACATAACATAGTTAAACACACACCAATTTGGTTAACGACACAATGTGTCATGTTGTACGTGTCATTTTCTTATGCGGAGTTGTTTTAGCAGTTTTTTCTTTGACGGCCTGTAACGAGCGCGTAGGCGGCCCGAGCAACGAAATTATTACACAATGGAGTTCTAAAAATAGGCTGTAGTATATTCAGTTATAATAAGCCTTCGTAGAGGAAACAACAAACAGGCTAACTTTTTTTTTCTTTAATGTGTTCGAACAATGGTAGATTGTCTGGCATCTATACGAATCTTACTATATAATATTATATGCACTTGCGAATGTTTGAATGGATTGATGGATGTTTGTTTGAAGGTATCTCCAGAACAACTGAACGGATCTCGATCAAACTTGGCATGGATGTAGAACATAGTCTAGAAGAACAAATAGGCTACTAATCAAGTTTCTTTTTAATTCGGCGCGGACGGAGGCGGACAACTAGTGGGAAATATCAGTAATAATAAAAAAATGCCTTATTCAGCACTAAAAATTCAAAAACTTTATGCAATAAAAGGAAATAAATGGAATCTTAACAGTCAACTTATGTTTAAATAAAAATCTCACAATAGATTACAATGACACCCACGCAGAGAAAACATTTCAATATAAAACGGATCTCTTTTAATACCTTTCTTATCTTTTGAAAAGAAACAGAGGTACGCTCTGGAATTGCCGATATTAAATTAAAGCTTAGAGATACTTTGCTGAGAAAATTTATTTTAATTAAATACTAAGCCAAAACATTCATAAGGATAAATTTTTCAAACTTTCGTGATACATTATACTAAACTGATTGAGTGAGCGACGGGCCGCGTCCGTGAAATAATACCAGTACCACTCATCCTGATGAAGGGCCCCCGATGGGCTCGAAACTAGTCGGTGGCGCCACCGGACGAATATTACGTGTGTGTTTAGCCGTGTTTATATATCAATCCATAAGGATAGTTTGGAAACTGATGTACTGTAATAAGCATTAAAAGGTATTGAATGAACTAACACATATTAATGCGTGTTTTTAACGCTGTTAACACAAAGTAACAAATAGCTTGTAAAATATTATCGCTTAGCGCAACACTGCCAGAGTTTGTAATAGCTCTACTTTATCTCGGTCAGTTATTTTATTGCCACATAGCACAAAAGAGCATGTTTTATATTACTATAAGCTGTCGCCCGCGACTTCGTCCGCGCGGAATTAAACTAAGATTTTGTTAGCAGCCTTTGTTCCAGGCTATGTTCTATATCGATGTCGATGTCACTAAATTTAGTGATATCCATGTAGCCGTTCCGGAGACACGTTCAAACAAACATCTATCCATCCAAACATTCGCATTTACAATATTAGTAAGATGAATAATCAATTGTTTTTGCTGTAAAATATATGAATATTATATTTCAAATATGTGTCCAATATTATGCCGAAAATTATAACTGTAATAAGTTGAACGACAACCCACACTATTGAAAATATTGAGTTACGATTCGAAAAAGGTTTAAAAAGAATAAATTTTATAATCTATTCTTATAAAATTTAAAGAACTCAATAAAATATAGAATAATGCAATAGTCTTTTCAGTGGCGCCATCTTGGTTGTTTCCACAACGCGTGGGCTGCTGGTCGCCGTTATTATTTAGCTAAGTGAGTTCTATGAGCTTACAAAGATGAAAATGAACACGAATAATAAACAACTAAATTTTAAACCCTATATTCGGTCGTTGCTTCTTTCAGAGAGACCGTAGTAGAGGTGACTCATAAACAGTTATCTTTATAATTTTAAACAATTTATTATTCTTTTAATAACTACGAGGCAGTATTTTGTCTTAGGAATTCAATAGAATTTTAATGTTTCTCAGATGTTTTATGATTTGTTTTTATAGTCTGAATAATTTTACATACATCATTTTGCTTTTGTTATTTTAGGCATATTATGTAAAATAAGATCAACATTTAACATCCAAACATCAAATTATAGGCAGCGTGTTTGTTCTCCATATGTGACCTAATTGATCATTGGTCTGTGCAAACATTCCATTCTATCCCTTCTATACACATTTGTCCCCTCGTATGTCAGATAAAATGTGAACATAAAACTTGGAATTTTGTAATATCATTTGCCACAGACTAAACAACTTTTGTTCATTCTTCTAGAACTATTGGATAACTAAAATCGCGGTTTAAAACATATTGTTATCTCACTTTGGTCAAAGATAACGACAGTGATGGCGATATATTTTATACAGAGATTTTGGTCTTTCTATTATTCGTTAATGTCTTGGTTATTTGCTTTTATTATTAGCTACATGTTTACGTAGTTCGGAGATCGCTAGCTTAAATGTGTACAACAAATAAAGCTGCAAAATAAACAGACGTAGGTGTGCGATATATGTTACTAATATTGAACAAAATAAATTGAATTGTACCTTATGTTTGTTACAGAAGGAGAAGACAGCGGCAAATCGGTGAGTTGTCTGGATTAAGAGCACGTATGGGAACTATGTGAAACAGTAATATGAAATCAAGAAAAAAAGACTACAAACAAATATATTTGATTGTTTGAGAAGTTAAAATTATTTTTTCTCTGTTTTTATTTGTTCGCATCAAACGTGAGAGAACGTTCAAAGGATATAAAACAATACGAAAGGGATTTATGTGTATGAATGATGAATATTTGCGAAGTATTAAAAGCAGTTTCTTTCGTTAAATCATTTTAAATATTCTGATCTCGAACTTGCAAGTATTAAGTATGCAAATGTGATTCTATTACTTTGACGTTGGTCGCCTTCTTGAAATATTTTTAGATTCTTAAATTTACTGCAGAGAGTTGCTCAGTATTCTGAATGTATATGTAAATAATTCTAGATGTTGCACTTGTTTATTCTACGCATAATTCAAGAACAACGCTTTGTGAATACACAGTACTTTGGTGTTTTCGAGAGTTTTACATTTTGTTTAAAAAAATATGTCGTGGATAATTAAGATTAGGATACAGTACAACTATTTTGAGCAACTTATATTTGAGTACTAATTCTGACATTTTTAGTGGCAGTTCATAAGACGATAAATTCATACAGAATATAAACACTCTATTAAATCAACCACAACTTAACCCTAAAAATTGTATTTATTTATTAAAGTTATCAAAGAGACAACCGTAGAGTATGTACTTAAAAATTATAAAACCTTTTTTTTTGTAAATTTGCCACATCGCGCAAATATTTCAAAAGCTTGCTGCGGTTGATAATATTTTAACTTTAACAAGCACCCATGAGAGTACGATACTTTTTTATTTCTTTATTATACATTATACACGTGGTAGAACTTAAATGGAATAGAGTTGGTGCTAAATAAATTGTTTTCTAAAATAGATTCCTTTTTTAAATATTACGTGTCTAAGATTTTATGTAGCATTTGACATTTTATTAAGAAAATAAAATCCTATTAAATTCAATTTCATTTCAGGATGTTCCTGTCGAACAGTTGGAAAAGTTAAAATTGGGTAAGTATTATACAGATTAAAGTTTTAAACAGAAGAACATTTTGCTATCCAATTTTGGGTGCTATGCTGAAACAGTTAAGTGGATACTGTTAGTTTAATATAACATATTCATCTCAATAATATTATTTGATAGTGAAATATTAAATTAGCGTACTGTATACATTACGTCTTTAACAACTCATCGTAGCTTGACTGATTAATAAAAAACCTTAACAAAGTTAAAAATTATTTTATAGTGATCGTATATTTTTATAAAGTTGTATGTATGGTATACTATACAAAATGAACATAAAGGTTAATAAAATGCCGTGTAAATAAAGATTAGATTCGAGAAAATTCGATAAGTGAAATATACGAAACATATAAAATTAAAATCCACATCAGCCTACTCTTAGGATCGTAAGATGTAATTTTTCTTAACTTCGCAGTTTTATTACGTTGTGAAAAATATATCAAAAGCTTTATAACAAAGTAGAATAAATAAAGCGCCGACAGATATATCAAAGGTTCTACGTGTTTTTAAATCGCTACGCAAAATACGAAAAAAATATAACTCGTTGGTGAAAGGTCAAACAAGGGTAACAATGTTAGTGACGCAACAGGCGGGGCCGCGGCGCGTGTTACGTTTGAAACGAGATTAAAAATAATAATCCATTTTGCTGTTGCTTCCGTCGCGTAACTAAGAGAATAATTAAACCATATACGTCTACGGAACTTACAAATTAGATGGCATTCATTACGGTATAGAATCGCGGTATAACTTACAAAGATCTGAGGAAAAGATTTGTGTCACCCAAACTTACTCGATAAGCACATTTGACTAAATAAGGGTAAGCTCCACCCTAATTAGGGTAGGTAAACTTTTTGGTTGTACACATACAAAAGTCTTTTTGACAAAAAAAGGCACAGATTTAAATTATAGTTAGTAACAAACGATTTCGTTCGTTAGTTCCTTAATATTATACGAGTACAACTACAAGCATTGATATTTTTAGTTAATCGTAAGTTTTCAATGAAATAGTTATCAAAAAGCATACGGTTATACGTTTTTTTACAAGACTTTTGGTAGTGGAAACCTACGTATTAACTTCAACAATGTTTGTATTCCGAACAATACTCTGGCGTCACGTGCAGCACGTAGTTGCTCGAAATAATTGGGTACTGCGGTGAACCGCTGCCTCTTTCAAATTGTATAGCAATCTGTAAGCTATTTTACAAACACCCTGTCTGTATTAGTAATGCACGACTTCACAGTTTCCGATACTTATTTGAAATTATTTTCCGCTATCATTATAACTATGTGATGTACAGTCAGTTGCATAAATATGTATACTATTAAAAAGCTCCAGAAATTTATAAAGGTCTTCGATTTATAAAATATGTATGCACTAATTCATCAATAAAATGTAATCATAGTCGGAAGCATACGGAAGGATGAGTGTATATATATTTCTGAAACCGAAAACGTATTCTACTTTTTGAAGCTTTGAAAAGAAAATTGTCCTGACTCCTTGCATCTCATAACTGAAATCAAACTATTGGAGGCATGTTTATGCTAGAATGTGGCTGAAATAAAAACGCGTCTGCGCCACTGAAATGTTTACAGCTTCTGCAAGGAGACGAAAAACTTATTAAGCTTTAAGTTACTTTTATGAATGTTATAACTTGTTTAAAAATGTTTTATCACGTTGTTGGGAAAGTTTTTAATACAAGTAAACAAGTAAGTTCGAGATGCTTCACAACAATTTAGAAAAAAAAATCTTATAAACTTGAAATATAATTCAAACATTTCTATTTCATATATTTTTTTTAATTACGTAATAAAAACATCTTTTATTGAATACTAGCAGACGCCCTAGACGCTGTCCGCGCGAAATTAATAAATAAGCTATGTGTTCTTCCAGATTATGTTCTTTATCTATGCTAAATTTCATCAAGATATTTCTAACAAACATTAAAACATTCGCATTTATAATACTAGTAAGATATTTATATTATTATAATACTTGAAATGAAAAGGCATATCTGGGTGAACTAAATATCCATAATGTAATCGATTCCATTGACCTAATTGTATTGGCCTACGATATTTTTATCTATCGCACATCATAATATTCTAGTCAAATAAACGTTTTATTATAGTAGATAATAATAATATTAACTATTTGTTTATTTACATTGTTGACTAAAGAAATATTTATTTTAATGTATAATCTTACTATAATAATATTATAAATGCGACAATTTAGATGGATGGATGTTTGTTACAAGATATCTCCGGAACGGTTCAACGGATCTCGATAAAATTAAGCATAGATGACGAAAATAACCTGAAAGAACACTAAATGAGTCACTATTTTTTGTTTATTTCGCGCGGCCGGAGTCGCGTGCGACAACTAGTGTATTCAACTCCTGTTTACTTTGGCCCACCATTGTCGGATCTAGCAGATTGCGTCCGAAATATGGTGCTAAAGGCTTTGTAGATATTAATTAATTGTAAATATTATTGCTGGTTTTTTGGTATTATCATTTCTTGTTTTTTTTAATTGTATATCATTGCTTTTTTATTGTTATATCGCTTGCTTATATACTTAAAGTTGTAATTAGCTCCTAAGTTGAATGTTATGGGACTGACATGTTCAAAAGAACAAAAGTCCCTAAAAAAAAAGAAAGAAAAACTAGTCTATTATAAAAATGTGCGCAACAATATTTTCTATTCCCCGTAGTAGATCGATCAATCTTTTGACATGTAATTTCTCATACCTTCGACACACTGTTAGCCAGAATGCTTTTGAAATGGTGGTGGAAAATAGAGCATTTATCAGACACTGAGTATATTTAAACGGTTTTTATTGGGTTTGCCTTATGTTTTTTTCTAATAATATACTTATCTTTTATCTTTCTTCCTCTTTATCTCAAATTAATTGGAATTATTATTATTATATCCTTAATTATCTTTATGAAGATGGCGGTGATGACGTTGATGTGATGATGTTGATAGCTCAAGAGCCTTCACCAATAAGTATGTCGGTAATAAGACACTTAATTAGTTATAATTATAAAATATAATTTTAATCAAATTACAGTGTTCAAGTTAAGTTTTGTCAAAACAATTTCTTTCTCCTTGTTTCTTTATATTTCGGTCTAACAATTCCACTTAGAATTCAAGTGCGCAGGCACTCGCCTTAATCACCTCCCAGTCAATATTACTTCGATATTTAGTAAATACATTGAAGCCGCTCTAGTGTTTTTCCGTTCGCCTTCGTTTAACATAACCCTTAGTGGAATATATTTGTGACCTTTTTGTTGCTTTCATTACATCATCAATGTTCCACAATTTTGTATGCCGTATTACGTTTTGATTGACAAAAAAGCATTAGTGTATTATATATTTTTTTTTAATCATCATGAAAATATTTTTGGCTCAAGGTTTTCAACCCTTGACTTGCAATCAGCAGGTCCGGGGTTCGAATCCCGTCAAGTACCAATGTGTTTTATCGATTTCCGATTTACATATGTACATTTATCCGACGTTCTTACGGTGAAGGAAAACATCGTGATGCAACCTGCACATATCTGAGAAGAAATTCAAAGATATGTGTGAAGTCAACCAACCCGCACTGGGCCAGCGTGATTGACTAAGGCCTAGTCGCCCTTAACTTAGTGTAGGTTCCGAGCCCCTCGGTGGGGACATGTAGTGAGCTGATGATGAAAAGATTTTTATCATAGAGCCAACGGAAATAAACTTTTGGTGTTGATTAACTTAATGATTATTTATATTAAAATAAATAAATTAAATATGCCAAAATATTTTCTGTAAATAAAGGATTATTATTTTTAATGATCATGACAAGACATTATCTCCAAATCTTACAAAATACCTCCTAACTTAAAAAATACAATATATAAAAGTCGTATAAAATACATTTATAAAACTGTTATTGTGTCGCCGTTTTCTATAAATTACCTAGTTTATTATTTTCTGTAATACAATATATTGTGTTAGGTTAAAATAGATAGCATTTAGACAGTGAAGGAGGAAACGTTCCGGTGCGCGTTACGATCCAATTTCGATGCCGACAGGATTACTGTGTCACGCTATCGCATTTAATTTCGTGTTAGTAGGTCAAACGTACTATTTTTATTTATCTTGAGATACGTGATAGTATGCCTTTATTTCAAGTCCTGTGACACAAAAGAAGTACTACTTTATTTTAAGAAATGAACCTTCATTCATTGTGAAATTTGAAAAAGTGAACTAACTAATAAAGATATTATCTCCATTACTGACTAACATAGAAATAAAAACTCATAAAGAATACTCATAACTAACGAATACTATGCGTATTTGACTAACGTATGTAATCCTTTGTGGTATCTTAATAGTCATTTTAAGACAAATGTAAAACCTTCTACGAAAAGCTACGAAAAATCTACATATTAAACATATGAACAAAAGCATGTTACCTTTGTATTTCCAAAGAAAATAAGAAAGATGAGATATATCTTTATACAATGTGATTTAACATTAGAAGTCTACGGTAACAGACAAAATGTTATCAAAAATAGCAATTGTGAGATACACCCGCATCGAATGACAATAAGACCGCAAACCGCATTTTCACTTTAGTAAACATTTGAACATTGTAAACTCTGACTTCAAAGAGTGTAGTCTGTGCCTAACGATGTAACATAGGACATATTTGTTAGCTCAATGAACAGTATACTAGATAGCATTAACATAGGGGTGCTACTATAGTTTTATTAATATTTAAATGTTTTATTTAAGTACTAGCTGTCGGGCAACGTATTAAAAAAAATAACTTAATAAGTAGCTCATGTGTTTCAAGATCCTTTGAGTCCTTTCGAAGATACCTTCATACAAATATCCATCCATCTAAGCTTTCGCATTTATAATATTAGTAATGTTAACAAAATATTGAGTATATCATAATGTAAGCAGAATATAAAAAGGTTTTATATGTTTATTTAACGTTTTTCTTACGATATCTTTTTATTTGTTTTATAATCTGTGAAATATTTCAGTGTAATGTGAGAGTAGGGTGCTTAATAATGCTATTTGGTCGTAAAATAAAGCTGTTAAGGGAATAAACGCTGCAGTTTTCTCTTGATTGCCGTATAAACAGATAAAGCTATGGAGGATGCAATAAAACGGCTAAACACTAGAAACCTTAGACATACAAGTATACCTATAACATAACTAAAATATATATTTTCTAAGATGGTAAAGTTAATTTTATTAACGTTTATATAAACATTTTCATAAATACTTGCCTTCTCAAAATTTCGAGCTCCGTATAATGTTGACTTCGTAGCCTTCTGTAAGCGTAGACGTCGTAGCTATAATCGTAGCGTAGCGTAGACTACACAGGCTACGATTTCGTAGATATTAAGTAGATACGTAGATATGTTTTAAAATGTTATTATTTGTTGCAGCAGATACCAGTAAGGAAATGCTTGAACTGCAAAGAGAACACGTCGAATACCACGCACTAGGTAATTATCTATACAATAGAATATTTTCTTATTATAAGAATATAAAGAAACCTCAATTGACTGTACCCTTGTCGGTTCCACTGTGTCAGACATAAATACATACCAGCGAAAACTTGACCCTCGTCGGGTATTTTCGTGTTTCAACAAGAATATTTTGATCAATATTATATTGTTGATACATATATAAAAGATCAACCTGTATGTTTATGAACAAGTAAAACATAGCACAAATGCGCATTGCCTCAGGGGTATAATGAAAATGTAATTAACTAGCCCAACTCGAACCGTGTCTAACTAAATTATACTATTATTTTGTATATATGAATAAACAATAATTAATGTTTTAATCAACTTTTTCAATTTAAATAAAACGTGTCAGACGGTGAACGATATAAACTTTACGAAATGTTTGATAACTTTATAAAATTACACAATTGTTATGTTATTTTCTAAGGTACTAATTAAAGCCTTATTTTTAAGGTGTTATCGTGAGCTTTCGAAATTTTTACTTCTCGAAATTCTTCCTTTTCCCACAAAAATTTCAGATAAAATCTCCTAGTATAATTTTGAATATCAGCGTAAAATTTCAATTACTATAACTTCAATTCAGCCATTTTATTTTGCTTTAAACTGCAAGAATGTTGCTGATTTCTTCAGGAAATTGTTCTTTAGACAACTTTGCTCAGTTGTTACTTCGATAAAATTTCCGATTTTATAATCTGTATTAATATTATGCATCTAAAGATTGTAATTACGGATTGCGATTTCGGTTGTATTATATTTTTACAAGACTAACTCAAGAAGGTAATGTTTTTGGTCGCAAGATTTATAAATTTCAAATCTATTATAACGGCCTGGGGCCTAAACGACTAAACTTAATTTAAAAATTTTCAAAATGTTTTTATCTCAGTCTACGTAATGAATTATATTCATAGATGCTATAAAACAAGACGGGGAGGTGGTATCGAAGTTCGAACAGCACGCGTCAGCTGACAAGGTACCAGGAGAGAAGCCGCAAGTACATGCGCAGGCGCAGCTCGACATACCGGCGGCAGGTGTACACAAAGTGGTCGTACAGGATGGAACGCATGTCAGCGTGGTGGACGCTACTGCACCTACTACAGTCGCTAGTGATGAGCAGACTACCAAGGTAATTGTTAATTCCAATGGCCTAATAGTTAGGAAAACAGATTAACGAACGTGAGGTCGTAGGTTCGCATGGCTTTTTATTAATCTTAACCATATAATGCTTTAACATAAGTTCTTAATTTAACAACCATAATGGTTAAAAAAAAACTATCAATAGAGGATTTTAATTTATTTATAAAAATTGTCAAGGAAGCTTTTTCTTATTCATTTACATATTTTATAACTCGTGTAATAGAGAACACGATATATACACATTTCTATTGAAGTCTAATGTATGAACATACAGACAAACAATTAATTTATATTCCGCCCCCGCAACAGTAGTATTTGCGGTTATCAACAAACCATTATACATGCGATCCAATCATCTGTCGATTGCTTTGAATTTGATATTCGATGACATTGAAATTGCCTTTAGATGTTATTAGGTGTGATTGCTTTACGCAATAACCGTTCCGACCTACATAACAATCTGTCTCCCTTGATACATAATAATTGGTTTATACTCTGAAACATATTAGAATATGCTATGCGTGAAGTCAAATTCTTGTAGTAGCTGATATAATACTGAAGCTATAATTAACTAAAATTGCCAAGAATTTCCTAGTTTTTTTTTAATGCGGGGACAGAATGTAAGCGAATATAATTATTTTAAATGCTACAGATGCGTTGTAGTAATTGTGAGGGTAAAATAAAAGTAGAGAGAATGAAAGAAAAGGGAGAAGACAAGTGTTGCAGACATCTTGTACGTTATATTTGTATTCAAAGGTGTTTCATGGCGCGGCTCGTCTGGTCCAACCTGGTTCCGCTACGTCCGCCAACAACGCTGCTAACCACGCGGCCAATCATCCGCCGAATCATTCCGCTGTTCGACGGGCCTACAACAATGACATCACCAAGGAGAACAAGAACAATGTATGTATAAGTTAGACAAACATTCATACTTAGTGCAATAGACGTGAATTGACTCCAGTACCATATAATATGAGAGGGAATGAGATAGAAAGGAAAAAAGAGAGCAGACAGTAATAAAACTTTTGGGCTCAGAGTCCTGGTTTATATTCGAAAATTAAGTCAATATTTTTAGATTTCGAATAAGCAGTTTGCATTTGTTTTTTTTAGTCCAAATGGGGATAAAAAAGACACTCCTTCACCTGAATTCTTTCGAATAACAAATGGCATCTCATTTCCGGCAATATTGGAATAATAACCACACTATACGATACGTATCGATTTGACCCCTCGTTAGTTCCAGTTTGAGCTCCTCTTAGTAGGTTATCAGGTATCCAGGTCAGGCGGACAATGTACCAAACAAAAGACTTGCAATTTCGGGTTAAGTTACTTAGGAAATATGAGGATGTCTTTAACGAACGAAATTTAAATTAAAAGTGTAATGAGACAAAATATATTTATTTAAAAACTAGGACAAAGTAATCTTAAAACTAAAATCAACAGGTTACTATGGAGGTTTATTTAATAGATTTTTTTTAAATTACGGATAATTTATTATTTTACCTGGCGTTACAACACACTCTCTGAAGAGAGTCTCCCTTGTCCCTGTCTTTTTGCGAAAGATTGAGAGAAATAACAATATATTTTGTATCAAATTTCTAGAGTTTAAATGGTTACTATATTCGCTATCTTATTTTTCGTATGACGTGTAATTTCCTGGTTGCTTATCTATCTCTGCACTAACGCTACTTCTAACCTAGAAAATATAATTCTAGTGAACATATAGTAAGTGAGTAGAATGTAGTTAACCTACTTTACGACTTCGACTTTGTCGTAAAGGGTAATGTGTTAGACTGCACAACGATAAAGGAGTGGATATAGTAACTTAGAAGATTTTTATTTTATTGTATTGTGTGTTATATGGTTTTTAAATTGGACAAAGTTTCAGACAAAAATAATGTTGACTTTGATACCAAAGAACACAAAGAGTAAAAAATCAAGCCAACAATCCAATTTTTAACAGTGGTAGAGTCTGCTTTAACATCTTTGCACGAATTGGCCCGGCTTGCCCGGTAAAAGGTAGGCAACCCATATGCAATTGCGTATGTCTATGGGCAACGGTCACTTCGCTTTATGATATAAAAAATCCATATTTTTGTATTAAAATTAAAAATTTATAAAATAGTTTGTCGCAAGCTAATACATTGGTAAATATTTATATTATATACCTAGTTTTTTTTTACTACTAGGAACCTAAAAACCTTGAGTACATCGCTATTCGCTTCTATACAGTACCGTGCATTATGCAAGAGCAGGTACTAAATCCTTCCTCAAATGTGTCATTTCAGTTTATGTTACCGAGAAAATTAGAGCAGGTGTTCGCGTATTGCACATTTTACAACCTTTTGTGAAGAGCTTTACATTTCTTGACATTGGAAATTTAGTAGTATAATATAGAAACTTTCTAAAAATAAGAAACTTCTAGAATTTGTTTATAATCATTTGTAAGGCAATCTTAATTTTGTTGGACTATCTTTTATTTATAATAAATACTGGATAATACAATTGTTACTATATTAACAGTATAATACAAAATATTATAATATGTTATTATATATTGTATTGTATTGCAATGGTCAGATGGAACACTATTCCTACCCGGGCGTGCAATACTCGCCTTTGGACATGGCCGAGTACGTGTTCTGGACGGGCGATGAACGCGGCGTCACCACCGCCATTGAAGATTTTCTACAAGAGGGCATGGTTTGTATATTACGAATTAATTAATTAATTATCATCATTTAATTCTTGTTTGTTGTGTCAAATCAATACCGACCCAAAGTACTCTTAAAAGATTGCATTTCGAAGGTTTGTTTAGCAGTTCCCTCGATATAAAGTCACTCACATGGGCAAATTTTTTTAGTGATGATCCTCGATGTTAGTATTCCTCATTGATCTGGATCTATTTACTAGTGTATAACAAGAGTGGTATAAACCGTTACAGATGACAAAAGAAGAAGCGTTAAATTTCTTGCAAGAAATCAAGTTCAACATTGAATACTTACGGGCGCATTACGCGCAGAATGTCCGAGCGGCGGAGGAGAGCGCGCAGCAGGAGCGCTTGAGGAACATTCTTTTGGAACCGAATAACAAGGTATGTTACAATAATAAAATCAGTTTGCTACAACAATTGTACATGTCGGTCCATTAGATGTTGTGTCGCCTTAAGCGGATAAGTGTTCTTAATTACTGAAATTTTATTCATTGCACGCAATGATGAACGGTGTCCTACTTTTATTCTTTACGTGTTTAATTTGTCATTTTTATCTCGTCTTATTAAAATTGGTAAGAACTGTAACTACTACTTTCACCTAAATACCTACATAAAGCGTCTTTTTTAGTTAAGGAAAATTACGTATTGATGATTTTTCCTTGGTCGTAAAAAGACATTCTATGTAATTTGTGAAACGTGAATTAATTAAGCAGACGTTTTGTCTTTCGAGTTGGAAATTCATTAGGGCTGAAATTTGGTTATACTACTAATAAAGTTTAAGGTTCCTCCAATTATAATTAACGGTTAATATTCTTTAATGAAATTACGTTACATAATTACAATTTACCTACTTTAATTACAAATTTTAAGTATTAGCGTTAGAAGCTTTAATTTACGTTTTGATTATGTTTTTTTTATTATGTTTTGATTATGTTTTAATAATCATTGAGTCCAGTTCTTTCTTTAAATTATTGAACGTTTGCTAATTTGTACCTTTACACGTGAATCTTATACCAAATTTAGTCCAACTAAGGAGTAATGAGGTTTAATCACGAGCAGAATTAAGTTTGATTAAACTGGGTCTTGATTGACCTGGCATTTGGCACGAGACGACTAATTGCGAACACTACGTGCGCATCTCGGCCCACAATATTAACAAACCTAATGACTACTTTGTGACAGGAAATAGAGTTCCCTACAGTATGAAGTAACTATGTTAAATACAGTAACGTAGTTAATTTGTTAAGAGTAAATCTTAATGTTTTTTTTTAAATACTTGTTAACCAACCTTAATCCATATAGAATAGGGTGAAGATCTTTTTGTACCAAGAAAACTGCGGACCATTTTTCTAAGTTTTTAAGCCCCGCTAAGCTGTACTAGAGAACTAAGTTTTCCAAAGAATTACTTAAAATCAATCAGTTTCAACATATTTTATGAACTAAACAAAATAAGTATGTTTCTCAGACTACAGACTAATCAGTTTTCACTTATCGCGTCCGAGGTGTAAAAGTTGATCCGCATTTATGGGTAGCTCATATAACGATAAAACGTGACCGTTAACTAACATTCCGGGTCATTGGAGGCAGTTGCCGCTACATTAAACGATCACCCTACTGGATAACTCTATAACGAGGTGTTTGGATTATTTTATAGTCTACTCACTTCATAACTTTCAAAGAAACAGGAGTTTAACGTTCGTATCTTTAATTATGAGTTCAGAAACCATCAAATAAGATTTCTGAGTTCTGTGATAAGGAACTAAGTAAAAATGTTATCACTTTAAACAACACTACAGGAATTATAAAAATTTATTGATATTGGATTCCGCCTTCTCTCGCATTGATTTCATTCTCGGAATCCATCTTTTATTTTCTATTTTAAGTTCCAATTTTCCTTTATCCTTAATACCCTTACCAAATTTATTTTCTTTTAGTTTTTATATTAGGATTGCCAGTGTGCCGCGGTTTACTTTAGTCAAAAGACTTTAACAGGAGTACCAGTACAGGCCGGCACAGTTCCCGTTTACCAGCGATGCCCGCAACGCCGGCAAGTCGTGGGAGCTCAACAACAATCTTCTGCCAGCGTTGTCCCCTACTGACCTCAGGCCTGAACCAATGAAGCGATCCTACGATCCGATGCTCCAGACTAACATTATCAGTGAGTCTGTTACACCTATTGTTAAACAAAATGTAATTATACAAATGAATTAGCATCCCTCTTATTGTTCTTCTTGTTTAGGGAGTTGGAACTCACGGTTAGTTTGTTTTAAATGGATTGTAGATAGTCGTCACCTTGGCGTCTTGTTTATGTATGTAAGTGTTTTTTGTTTTCTGTTTCGTTCAAGGTACTTCTGATTATGAACGCGACGGACAAATTATATCGGAGGAAGAGTACGAAGAGATGATGGAAAAGCTTCGAGCCGCTGACAATCTGTACACGGAGTATACTCTGGAAGAGATAATCTATCAACTGGCTAAGGTTCCTAAATCTGGGCATTTAATTCTATGACATCTATGATTTTAATATGCATGAGCTTCACAGTCAATTCCCTCTTTTATCATCATAAATGTAGTGTAAACCGTTATATGAATAAACCTTAATATTATGACTACGAACATTCATGAGCCTGAGTTTGACCGACAGCTTCAAATTACAAAATACAGTGCTTAACCCAGAGTCGTGGTTAATGACGAAGTCTCTTTTTGTAGTTTGAGGAAGAATATATGGGTAAATATCAAAGGACTAGGCAGTTAGACAGTTGTTGTAATGTATAAATTATTTTCACAGATGATGTTCTCGCAGTCATTGTCCCGTGAGCCGGCGAGCGCACGCGCAGCCACTCAGCGCTTCATGGCTTTCCTCGAGCTGGAAGCGGAGCGCGGCCAGTTATCGCGCACTATCGAGAAGAAAGTTCTCGGTAACCAAACATTTTGCATATCAACTAATATAAAACGTTTAAAAAAAATCAAAGGACCATCACGTCCTTCGCTACATTTGTCTTGTATCTTGCGTGTCGATCATTTCTAATCGATACAAATGTAATATTGTTTCCAGACGTAATGATCGCGGCGCTGACAGACACCATTGGAGACCACCCTGAGCTGCTGCAGCAAAGAGACGCGCTCGGCCTCAGCCCTGCTAACAAGTGCGTATGATTTTTGTTTCATGACATTGCTTTGCGCAAACTTTCCGGTACTCTTGTCTCGTCATTTAGTATTATTAACAAGAAAATATATACTTGATCAAATTCACTTAGAATATTGTGAAGGAATATTTTTTCCCTTGGGAGACGTAACTTGATACTTCGATGTTGAACTTATATGGTCTACTGCTTCTGAAAGTTATTTCTATATGTTAATATAAATCTATATGTTATTTCCCAAGAGTAATGCATCAATTCCTGGAGTTGGGTACATCAGAGCCGAGCATGTCGCGCGCCATGCTTGCCGCCTACAAGGACGAGCTGCTGAAGGGCCCGCACAAACTGACCTTCCCGGAGAGAAACTAAATGTTACATTTATGTGCCATTTTACGTATTTAATATAAGCAAAAACATATATGTTTAGTTATAATTTAGCTATCATTTATTCTATATTTATAATATTCCAACAGCATAATGAAAAAATAGTTGTCCGGTTTCTATTATAACTAGAAACATATAATCCCGCCTAATATTATGTGAAGACTTGATTTCTATGAAGATCGATTTCGGAGGTTTGAAACAAAAAGATGAGATGACACTTCATTAATCGTTGGTTTCTGAGACCAAAATCTCTGGATAAAACAAATTGGCATCAAAATCATTATGTCAAAGAATTATCTTTGACAGAATGATTTTGATGATGACAGCTGACTTTGGTCTTTCTTTATTGTTTCAGATAAGACATGTTTAAATTTCACTCTTCCCTTTTATAAATGTTTCCCCTTACATTTGTAGTGCAATGCCAAAAAATAAATACCGTAGTCTTAGGTACCTGAATTGATTAGGATTTAAGAACTTTTGTATATAGTTAATAAAAAAATATATATTAATCTACAATTCTACACAATCCATATATGTTTAGATAAAACTACACGATTTATAAAATTGTGAAAGGAATTCTTTGGACTTGGGTTATATTTGCTTTTATGCTAATGGAAATGCTTTCAATAATTATTGCCAAGAAAAAAATTTGTAACTTTCGATACATGATAATGAACATTCAAAGAAAAAGAAAAAAAATTATAAGTCATTTCATTGTCTAAAAAAAACGTGATTTTTTGGAAAAGTAAAACTTTTAAAGTGTTGGTATATTCAAAATTTCAGTATGAACACTATTAAAATTAAATAAACTTCTCAATATTAAAGCAACGTAGTGGCAACATTTAATATAAGTGCTAAACAGCTATATAATAGTTAATATTTTAAAGTTAAACAAAATTATATTTAGAGAAATACTTCATATTTTTCTACCAATCTTCGACTATATTGTGCAATTAACTATTTTAATTTATCATGTATTTCAGATTTTTATTAATGACATAAATTTTAAGCTTATTTAATTCTGCCAATCGTAAAGAAATCAAACACAGAGAAAATTGCATAAATAGCATATCAGTAACATATCAAATCACTGAAACCTTTTTAAAGCATTTTAAAACATGAACAATGCTTATCTTAAATTTAAATATCAAAATCTTGTAAGATCGTTGGAAGAAAAAAAATAGTTAATTGCACGTTACTATCTTCTCAAATGTTTAGTAAAAAATATATTTAAAACAAAATATATAAACATAATAGATATATTTCCCTATAAATCACACTTTATATGTTAAGACTTGATAGTAAATCATAACGCAGCATTGTTTATTGTAACGCTATGTTAGTGAAAGCGAAATTTATAATATTTGTATTATTCTTTGAAATATATTGTGGATTTAATTAAAAAAATGTTTAGAATATTCGTGTTTTATTAAAAAAAAACTTATAGATATACTTCTATTTTGCACATATGCATAAATTAAATCTATAGCACATAATTTCTATATGTAAAAAAATTAAGATTAGGTGACTGGTGGCATTTTTGTCTTGAAAAGTAATTTAAATAAGCTCACCAATTTATCGTTACATTTAATATGCTAAGTACGTAATACGGAATTCCGTACACTATTCACTAATTAGTATACTATTACTTCGATTGGGTATATAAAAAATGCATTGTTTAAAAATATTTTTATTGGTACAAACTAGTCAACGGTGGGAAAGCATTCTGTTTACTAACAACCACTTTCTTATGCTGATACGAAATGTAACCTTTAATTTTTCCATCATAAATAAGATTGGCAACTATACACTGAGTTTCGTCTGAATCAACATCATCTTGTCCCACTAATTGTAATGCAGCTTGAAAACTTGCAATCTCAATTTGATGTGTATTCTCTATTAAATACACTTTACGGAACAGATTCCTGTATGCGGTTATCTTTAACTTCTCCACAATCAGATAAATGCCGGCTCTAATAAAGAAATTTTCATGTGTTTCCATAACTTGATCAATACCTCGTAAGTTACCATCTTTCACAGTCAAAACTAAGTCCCAAAACTGCATTAGGTCATATTTCTCTAGTAAAGTTTTCGATGGCATATAACCTAATAACATTTTCACTGGAATAAGATATGTTAGTATCAGTCTTTTATTCTTCCTACTATCTCTATGGCAATTTTGAAATGCGTACGATAAGTACTCATCAGCAGATGCGTAATCAGAATCGAACATAGCTTTTCGTCCCACGAAATATCTGTACGTAATTTGTTGCGCTAATGGGAAGTGATCTTTGAATGGTGACGAATCAATTGCTCGTATGAGAGGTTTACATAAATGTAGTTTGTTTATTCGAAAGTAAACTTTTAAAAGTTGATTGACAAGGGTTAGCATTCCCAAACGTTTTGTGTCACTATCAGCTGTTCTGTTATCAGCTGCACACACTCTGAAGCAAGCAAGAAGACTCTCTGCTGCTTTTTCTAATATTTTTCCATTATCTTGAGCTGAAATATTTGTTAACATAGGATATAAGTTCAATGCTACTATAAAATTCATGTATTATCACAATCTTACTGCCTGTTTGCCCCCTTATAAAAAAAACCTCCAAGTTATTGTGAGATTAAGATTTCTAAACACTTCTATTTAAACATAGGTCTTTATAATACAATAGACACCTAGATATGAAATATCTCTGGTAGGTGATAGGAGAAAACTTACGATTACATCCTTCAGCTTTTTGTGCAACTAATCGGAGATCCAAGCACACAGTGTACATAAGCGGTAAACTCCAGTTCTCATCCTTTTGTCCTTGCAACATCTTGACAACTGAGGCTACGCATGCACTTTGGTTCTCATATGCATCCATATAGTCTTTATCATGTAATGCCTGTAAACAGAAGTGCTCTTACAAGAGAAAGACACCAAAATACCAAGGACCACAAAGAAACCATGAAGGCATTTCACATCTCCATAAATAGCCATGTAAGTTGAAATGATATTAGATGGCATAGATAACTTACCTTTACAGTTAATAGATGGTAAATAATAATCTCATCTATAGGACCTATACAATTCCCATCAACAAGTGAAACTATGTTACTGGAGCGCAAGTTTCTGTTTTCGACATGTTCATCTCTAAGGGAAAGCAATTGTGCTAGCACATCCCCTTCTCCTGCTTTATAAACTTTTTCTACCATTTGAATATATTGGTTTAGCGTACCGGCTTGCGACATTTTTACCTCTTTTATCAGGTAAAACCAAAAGTAACACAATATGAGAACTTTATATTCATCCAATTAGTAAAAACAAGTTATACTAAAAATAGTTTTATTTAGAAATGTTTAAATATTGTTATTTTCTCTAAGACGTTTTTCTGAAAATCATATTTCTCTTGACACATGTCATCTAACTTTTTTTAATTTTTTTGACCTGGTAACATAGACTTTTAGGTCATAAGTCATGTTATGTCAAAACTAAAATTCGCTTCAAATAGTAAAATATGTAGATGATGTTACGTGTGAGTCATTTCACTCTTATGCAATTTTGCAAAAGTTGCCTGTTTTGTTTGTACACAATTTGAAGTCTTGATCGAAACGTCCGACAGAAACATATTCGCTGTAGTCATTAAAGATATCGTGATGGATGAAATACTGAAATTTCACGCCAAATAGAGGTCCGCGGTCTATGCCTACCACTCTGGATTAGGGGCGTGAGTTTTGTTGTCGAACCTAGTTTTACAGGTAAAAGAAAGTCTTTAAAAAAAATATGACCTAAAGGTCTATGTTACCAGGTCATAAAATTAAAAAAAAAACAAACAGACGTCAATGTCACAAAACATTTCTTGTGTTTTCACGTGTGGCTTGCGGTCTTTATATTTTTCTTGCTGATATTTAAATAAAAGTTGTATCTAATAATGGAAGAACATGTAGCTTTAGATTCTAAAAAACAAAAGAAGTTTGTGAAATCCCTAAAAGGGATTAAGAAGTTGATGAAGGTAACATTTCAGTTTCTATTTTGTTCTTTAGGTTACGTTTTGCTTTACTTGTTTCCTGTATACCATTATTTTAACAGGAAACTGGTGCTTTACCAGAAAAGACGCAAAAAGAAAAAGAACATGTCAAAACTGGGAAGATTAAAAAGAATAAGAGGCGTTCAAGAAGGGGTTTAGTGTATTTGTCACACATACCTCATGGATTTTACGAGGTTTGTTTAAAGTATACTTTATATTATATATAAGTTTCCAATCCTAGCTCACCTTAATTGAAGAACAAACATTTAACATATTTGGTGCTACAACGATTTTCATGTATAGAGATTTTCATATCTTTGAGAGTGAACATTGTCCTATTCAATGCGCAGACCATAATTTAAAGTGTGGGTGTACAGGGATGAGGGGGTTGGTTAGTACCCATACGTATCCAGACGTAGTCGTCGGGCTCATATGACGAGCCACTAAGATATTTAAAGACAATAAATTCAGTATATAACTATAATTTTAATGTATACTTTAAATATTTCAGCATCAAATGACAGAATACTTTAAGCAGTTCGGTGTGGTGACTAATGCAAGGGTTATCAGATCAAAACACACTGGCCGTTCCAAGGGTTATGGATTTATTGAGTTTAGAGACTTGCCAGTCGCTCAGGTTGTGGCTGAAACTATGAACAATTATTTAATGGGGAAAAGGTTGATTAAAGGTATGCCAATGTGCTAGAATTGTGTTAATCTCTGTGATTTAACTTAATATATATAATATTATGGAAAAGTATGTCAGATACCAAGTCATATAAAGGAGAAAAAGTTTTACCAAAGATAATCATAGTACTGATCATTTGTTCATAAAATAATATTTAGCTGATCTTTTTTTTATTTTGAAGTTCTGAACTAACTAGTTTGTAAATATTTTGCAGCGGTGTACATTCCCCCCAAAGATCAGAGAGTAAATGCTAGAAGAAAGAATTGGAACCTGCAAAATAATCCAGGAAGAAAATTAAAGTTAAAAATGAAAAAGGTACCCTTTTATTATTTTATTAACAAAGATTAATCTCAAATATATTTCAAATTTAAAACACTCAAATTTGTAGATAATCATAAAATGGATAAAAAATTTAAATAACTTATTTGAGTAAATAACTGAAATATAGCCTATGTGTATAAAGATTTCTTACTTAGATTTACTATCACATATTCATCCATAATTTTTTTTATTACAGTCATACAATGCTAATAAAAGTGAAGATGAAGATATGAAAATAGCGTGCAAACTTTTTACCAAGTAAATATTTTTATTATTTTTAAATAGATCTAACTTCAACATTAGTTGTGTTGTAATTATATATATATTTTACAGTTTGACAAATACAAAGAATAAACTTAAAGATTTGGGTATAGATTATGACTTTTTCACACCTGTTGACGTCCCAGAGGGATTAATGGAGCAGCTGGAAGTGAAAAAAGAAGCTGATGGTAAGAATCAAATGATTTTAGTTTGTTCTACATATATTTTAACTTAACCAACGCATTTTATCTTTGAGCTATGTGACCACTTAACATCAAGTGCTATTGTGAGCAAGCACTGGTTTAATCATTACTAAAAAAATAATTAGTCTTAAAAATATGTTAACCTCATCTCCCCTGTATTATCATATTGAAATATATAATATTTTAAAAGATATTTGGATAATCATAAAGTACATAGTTTAAATTGGAATCCCCTTGTTGCTTTTTAAATACTTAATTCTGAAGTAGAAGTTGCCACTTGTACTACGCCTAGTAATAAAGTAAGAGAGTGCTTTAGATTGTAACATAATTGGTACATTTACAGACAAGAAAGATATTGTAGATGAGAAACCTAATAAAAAAAAGAAACAAAATAAAGGTTTGAAAGATGAAACAGATAAAAAAACTAATGACATAGCTGACGCAAAAAAAGAAAAACCCACAATGAAAGAGAAGAAACAAAAGAAAGGAAACAAAGATATAGAATCAAATGAAAAGAATACTATTGCAGTAGTAAACAATAAAAATAAAAAACAAAGCACAGAAAAAATAAAAGAAAATGCAAAAAAGAATAAGAAAGATAATATAGAGACTACTGTACATGAGGCAATTAAAAAACAAAAATTGAAAGCAGCTGGAGTTAAACCATTAGAAGATTATGTGTCAATTGTTAATGAGGAAGATAATGAGAGTGACAGTTCCTACCAGTTTGACTCTGATGATTTTGACAATGAATTAAATGCAGACGATTCTGATGTTTCTAGTGATGATGTTGAAGACAACGAAAATGATGAAAGCAATGAAGATAACAACAATGAAGAATCTGATGAAGATGTTGATAGTGATAGGTTAGTTGGCTTGTTATATAATCAAATACCTATATATACAGCTTACAAAACTACCAATCATATAATATTTTTGGTAATTAATTGATAAAGTTTTATTTGCAGTAAAGAAATACCTCTGCAAAGGAATAACAAGAAAACTAAAAAGATTGAGGTACCTAAAGAAGCAAGTAAACCAAAAGCTAAACAAGTACCATTTATGCAGCTGATGAAGAGAAAGGCTGAAAGTAAGTTATAATTTAATTTCATGTTTAAACTATGTATTTTAAGATACTATTCAATCTTAAACACCTTGTTGATGCATAAGTTCTATTTTGATAAATTTGTTTCTTTTAATAAAATCTTTGATTTTAGAAACGGCTGTACCATCCAAGAAACCGAAGTTTGAGAAGCAAAATAACAAAAAGCTCCCAAGCAAACAGTTGAAGAAGAAAAAATAGTAATATTACACTTTGAAAATGTATTTTAGGGCTTGTTATAAGCTTATTACATTTGATTATTCAACAATATAGTAGTTGTTTTTTTTTTCTACAACCCCAGCAACGTTAGTTGTTGCACCTTGTTAGGTGCACCTGTTAAGGTGCAAATGGGAATAAAAAAATTATTATCGAAAATATGTTTATTCTTCATTGGACCATAGTTTATTCAACAATTAATTTCTTTATTCCATTTCTACTACAACAGGTTTTTCATCATCATCATCGGTGTCTTCGTTTGGAAACTCCCATTGAAATAAATCAAATAGATTTTTCTTTAATTTCTCAATCATTATTATTATGTTTTGATTTGATTTCGCACTGTATACGTTGCGGAAAAATTCACGAAACTTTTTATAGAAAACATTTTGTTCCATTTCAATTCCGCAGAGAAATTCAAGAGGCAACTCTTTCATTTGGTGTTGAATCGTTGCTATGAAATGTATGAAAACATCTCTATATTTGTCTAAAGCGTCTTCACATGAGCATAGTAATAGAACAAGATTCCGCCAGTGGTCAAAGCCAGACCAATAATGACCAATAAGAAAGATTGCGTATGCAAATTGCAATTCTCCTATGATATGAAGCGGTCTGTAATAAAAGAGTTTACATTTTTTTAAACTGTTTCAAACGTTAAAAATAATCAAGGACTTGCAACTATTACAAATTGCTTCACACCCTTTATTAGGGGGATAGACAGAGACAACGACTTGGTCCATACTTGTTTGTAAAAGGGTGCACTAAGTATATTAAAAAAACTCACTCATCATGTTGAGCAATCATTAGCTCCAAAGTATAAGACTGGTCCAAATGATGCTTCGTTATTTCCATTGGGGTTGAACCTGGTGGATATTTATTCTTTGGTATTTCTGTAAATCTCATAACTGTGCCTAAAACATGAAAATATTATGTGCACGGTTAACACAACAAAAGTAATTTGAAACATTCATTTCAAGTACAAATTTCACATGTTAAAAAATTTTCTACAGTGAATTTGGGACACTGAATATGTTAAAAGTGATTGCAATCTGTTTGTTCATATTCAAAGTTTCTTACTGTTAATTATTAAGAAAGTATGACAATTTGCTGTTATGAAATAAACACAAAAACAACTAAACTAACTAAATATAAAAACTAACAGACCTTCAACTGGCTTTAAATTAGGTAGCATAGCATCTTCTCTTTCTTTCTCAGTCATTCTACTCAATCTTCTTGTACCAGAAGGTCCTGGACTTGATTCTTGATAAGAGCCTTCTCCTTTGTTTAAATGTTCGGAAGACCCTTGAGATGGCTCCTCCCTATTTTCCATAGTTTTTTCCTTTTCTTCTTTTTTTGAACTGCCTTTACATTTTTTTATACCTCTTGGTCTTTCTGAATCAGGTATAGAATGAAACTCTTCTGACCTTATAAGACCTTTTTCTGGTGAAAGCTTTTTAGCTAGAGCTTCTGTAAATTACATAAATAAAATTTAGACTTTCATTACAATTTAACATTTAGGAAGTAAAAGGACAATTCTTTATATTTCATCTACCAACATCATCTCATCTATCACTTCAATAAGTAATTGTTGCAACCTTTTTTTTTTTCATCTTCTGTAGTATTTGTTTTCTATATCCTGTTTATGTGTAAAATATAGGCTGGTAGTGTGAGTCGCAGAGAAAAAATTCTGAATACTAAGTTAATGTCTTACTTTGCCATTACCTGAAATTTGCCTACTGAGACAGTGCCATCGAGACCAAATATCATATGGATATGGGGCAAGGTACCTGTCTATGTTATTTAGGTTCTCTCTAATCCTTTCCACAGTCTGTTCATTGAAAAATTCCATGCTCACATCCTCTGTTTTTTTATCCCACATTTTAACAATAATATCATTCTCATTGAAATATTGAAAAAATCCAGACCTACAAAATAAAAATAAAGGTAATTTGTGGCGAAGATAAGGAACATTTTGATAAAGAAAATATCACTTATTTTATACTAAGTCATACCTTTGAGAAACGTCGTCTATTTCTGTTACCGATGCAGATGCATAATAAATATAGTGTATTCCTGGCGGTATTAGCCTTATACCACGAAATTCTTCATCTGTATGCCAACATTTCAAGTCGATACCAAAAACTGTACCTTTAGGTACTCCAAGGAAAACAAATGTTGCTCCTTTTTGGTGTAGCATCTCAGCTATCCTCCCGTCCATTTTTTTTTATTAACTAGTGCTAGATTTACTATACCTGTTCATTAAATTTGAAAAAGAAAATTTCAATTTATTGATTAATAGTTCATATCTTACTTTATAAAATAATGTATTCTAGTACTTCTATACTATTCTATAATTTGTTCCTACTAGTTTATGACATTATGACAATGACACTAGCATTTGACATATCGGGAGTTTGCATCGTAGATAGATAAAGCAACAACATAGGAAAATAATAGCACGGTGGAAAATAGGAAACAAAAAAATAACGAGATGTGTTTTTGTTCTTTGTCTGAGTTATTTATAAAATTAAACTTAAAAAATAGACTGCAATTTCAGAAAACACTTTTTAATCAATATGAAACTAATCTTTTGAGCAAAAATATATATGTGGGTTAAAGGATGTGTAGACATTGCATATTTAAGTAATTACATTTTCATTACTTTCTTGTGCCCAGTTCAATAAAATCAATACAATCCAGTTAATAATTTCCCTCGAACTTTCAAATCCCTTCCTTATAATATTATACTAGCTATAGTTTAAAGAATTATTTCTTAGGCTATACTTAAGTATTCTTCGAGACTACGTTCTATATCTATACCAAGTTTCAGTGAGATCCGTTTAAGCGTTCTCGAGATTATATGTTTACCCAAGTCTCGCGGGGTAGATGCATCGTCAGTGTCCTGACAGTCACATTATTATAATGCCATGACAAATAGCAAACTGAAAGTGTCATTGACAATGTTTACAAGTGCGACGAAGAAAATTCCAAAAACCGATTTCATATTTTTCGATTTTGTGTCTAGATTAAAAAGTAATCGAAACGGAAAAAGTCTGGTTTTATTTTTCTTTTGTAAATTTAGTGAGGCGTGCAACCGTGCCAGTGAAAACCTCGGAATAGTTTGTTCGGAAAAAAAAAATCTGCGCCGAAATCCCGCGTTGAATTTCGAGCTTTTTCTGTCGAGTGAGTGGCACAGAGGTCGCTGTTCGGTGCTACACCACTTTTGTTTTAAACACGATTTTTTTGCGTAATTATTTTCAACAGGTGACGAATAGCTCGTCTCGAGCACCGCACAGCGACGTTAGCGCGTTAATCAGAGGTATTTAGGAGTTTGTTGCCTCCAATCCAATTAGTAAATTTTAGGCATCGCATAGAAGGAATCATGGACCTTATCTTTTCATTTTTGCGTCTCTATGAGTTGTTCGTAACCATTTTGTGGTGTGTGTGTGTGATTTTTTTATTATTATTATATTGCCAACAACCCTCTAGCAAAATAATGCGACAGATTTCAATCTTATAGAATAATATAATAAAAGACTTATCTTTAAAATTTTTTGACGGCAACACATGATTAAAAAAACACATTGTTGTTACGTCCTTACCTTTTCACAAAAGATTTAATTAAACTGTGTGACATTAAATTTGTTGAGTATTGTCTATGAATCGTGTGAAAAATTATAAAATACATAAATATTAATTAATAGGTTGATTTTGTGTGCAATATTAACTAAAGGTTATCCTTTTATAAGACAATGTTTATTTAAACTGACCGGTGAATCGAAAGACACAATGTACCATGAAAGCTACGACTTTTAAAATAAACTTGTAATGTCAGTTTCCGCAGGAAGTTACTCTAACTTTTAATAGTGTTCACTTCCACTAAGATGCCTTTCAAGAGATAACTTCTCCCACCTTCGGAGTTAGTTCAAAAGCATTTACTCTTCTAAAATGTTAAGGTCTTTCCTAAATCGAATTTATACTTAATGATCTTATTTATGTTTTCTTATAACATTTTTTATGATAAATTTAATGTTAAATTATTCAAACTTTCGTGAGACATTATGATAAACTGATATAAAAACAGCTAAACACTCACGTATATTCGTACGGTGCCGCCACCGGACGTATGTACGTGTTTAGCCGTTTTTGTATCAGTTTAAATTAAATGTTATTAAGTAAAAACAATTAAGTTTTTAACATTATTTACCATTATAATAATCATATTTAGTCCGAGTCGTTCTACTGTTGAACATGGTCTTTCTATAGTATACTTACTCTTTCATCATCATTAGCTCAGTATACGTCCCCACCGAGGGGCTCGGAGCCTACCCTTAGTTAAGGGTGATTAGGCCATAGTCAACCACGATGGCCAAGTGCGGGTTGGTTGACTTCACACATATCTTTGAATTTCTTCTCAGATATGTGCAGATCACGATGTTTTCCTTCACCGTAAGAACTTACTCTTTGGTCTTCCCTAATGCTTTCAACATTATGCGGTCCTCCGCTTCTTTCTTCTGGCTATAGTCTTATCAATGAAAATAATAGTTTTTAACTAATAAAGGAGATCTGATAAGTTTAAATAAGTGCAGAAATATTTACAATTCTCCAATACCAGATTCTCTGGAGATTTTACATTCTTGTTTTCAGGATAAAAAGACATATAGAGATTCGAGAATACGGAATGGAAATTTATATCCCGATTTCCCATGCGGATACAGTGCCGAATATATACTTTCAAAAATTTGTTTAGATGATATTTTTGTCTATGTTTTAAACATTAAATATATGTAGAAGAAAAAAATTAAATTGTCATTACTTTTTGTTACTAACCAAAATCCTCAGAAGAATCTGTTTGTATTCTTTCAACTTAATTTTCAGCAATTTTAGTGTTAATCTAATATACTACTATCAGTTGATAAACATCAATATTTTATGCATAAATTGAAGGTTAAATACCAAGGAAAAACATACTTTAAAATATTATATTCGAACTTGTAATATCAGCGTTTTCAACAAGAAAAAGTTTTAATGGCATTAAATCATACGAGCTCTAGTCAAATATCGCAGATTCTTGTAAATTGACAACAAGAAGTATTTATAACAAAAAATACTCTGTATGCTTTGTTAAAAAGTTTGGTCCATAACAATTCTGATATATTTTTGACAGTATAGGAGGAAGTTATTTTGTAAAGATTTTTTTATCATGTTGTTTAGAAGCATTATAACGTAAAAGGAAGGAAACAATTTCATTTTCTATCATTATTACGCTTATTTAAAACTCTATTGTTTAATATAAGGTTAACTTTCCTTTTGTTTCTTGGTGACGACACTAAATACCCGAATCTTACTTACTAACGCTTTCAATTTGTGATCGTTAATAAATAGCAATGAAAACTGAAAGTTGACTGTAGTTAGAGTTTTGATGCCGCCATTCGTATTGAAGCACTTGTCTATGGTAAGTGACGGGAGACTTTTTGGTTAATGCAGCTTTTATTGCCCAATTATTTTTCATCTGGTGTCTCGAGTGGCACTAATGGCGGGAATGCAACGCGATACAATGGCTGAGAGCGCTTTAACGTTGGTGTCGTTCGCTTTAAATTGTTTCCACTGATTTTTCACGGGTTCTTTGAATAAAATGTAAAGCTGTAATGAGTTATATGAGATAGCTAAAAGCATTACACCAGTAGTATTATAAAATATTATTGATAACTAGCTGACGCCCGTTACTCCGTCCGCACAGAATGAAAAAAGTTAACATCTATGTCAATACGTAAGCTTGCATCTTACTAGTCTTACTAATATTATTAATGCAAAAGTTTAGATGGATGGATGGATAGCACATAGTCTGGAAGAACACATAGGCTGTTAATTTTTTATCCCCGCAGAAGGAGTCGCGGGCGACAACTAGTTAGTAATATATGACGAGCGTGCATTCAAATTTTCGTGTTAATGATGTAGTCAGTCTAGTGACTGACGCAGAAATCAGACGCCCATGAGAGTTCACATCCTTAAATTCCCAATAAAATAAACAAAACCCGGATATCCATGTATCCGGGAACTAGTGAAATGAAAATTTATATCCTGATTTCCCACGTGGATACATTGTTTATAGAGTAACTATTATTTCAAAAACAAACATATATGTACAACGAAACGAAGACTCATTCGCTACTGACGAAGTGTAAATTTGTGAAACGCTAATTTTACTAATATATTAATATAATAATAAATGCGAATGTTTGGATGGATGGATAGATGTTTCTTTGAAGGTATCTCCAGAAAGTGTTAACGGATCTCGTTTAAATTTGGCCTACATATAGAACATAGTCCGGAAGAACGCACAAGCTACTAATTATGTTTTTTTCTTAATTTCGCGTGGACGGAGTCGCGGGCGACAGCTAGTATAAGATGAGATTGCAATAAGCCTGTTATATTCTAAAATACCGATATCAAAAAATATTTGTACTATTATTATAATAAAAACTGTTCAATACTATTATTAGTAGAAATTAAAGTAGGTCATAAAAAAGGGTCTTGCTTTCCTTCTGACCTTAAAACTTTTAATCTCATTTTATAAATATTTACGTATTTCAAGAATAACGGTATTAAGAGTACCCGAAACCGAAATATAAGGTAGTTGTATACATGTAGAAGAAGCTGGAAAGTCTCTCAGTACCGCGTCAAGTGGAGTCCGTGGTCTCTGCATACCCCTCTGGTTTACGGGCTTGATTATGTTGTCGTATTTATTGTTTTAGGTACAAAAACATATGTAGATAAAGGCATAATAAATAACAGGGGCATGATTATGTGCTGATGTAACAAATCACCCGCGGGGGAAATTAGAGCTTGGATGTACATAATTGATTACTATTGACGTGCGAGGGCCTGGAGGTAACGTTTATAATTTTCTAATTTCATAATATTACCTAAAAATATATTTAAGCATATATTTTGGGTGAAGTTTCGGTAAATATTCGATAAGTGCTTTGTGACATTCTTAAATAATTACCTGTTTTTTTGTAGATTGAGCAATTATTAAAAGTGTATGAAAAATATAGATTCGTAGACAACCAGAAGTGATGGTGAAAAGAAACTGTTTTGAAAATACACGTGTTTTAAGGCTGTCAAGTAAAGCATACCAACGTATTCTACGAATCCAACCTGAGTAAGGTTCATAGAATTTTGACGTTTCGTAGAATTTCAGCACCTGCATATTTGTTTTGTGCATAAATTTTTATTTTGCTTTAACACGTGAGTCGGTCGTCTCGAGAACTTTTAGCTCTGCGCCGACTTTAGTTTTTTTAGTATGTACCTTTTAATATTAGCGTGGGTTTCTACTATCGTAACTCGTGGTATACAACTATATTTCTATTCCTCTTTGATGAACAGGTATATG